TCTGCCCAAGGCCCCCGTTCTCTTCTGCATCACTTGTAAGACCAGCTGGCCTTTGGCATCTCAAACTGTTAAGAATGCTTTCTTAGTATTTCTGCCAGGCCTGGACTCTTGGAAAATGAATTAAAACGGTTGGCTCTGAACCATTGGCTATATGAAACTGTACTAGGTATCTTGCAAATGCTGTTCCCTTAAGAGCGAGCCTTGGGGCCATCTAAGGTGCACACTCGGCCCCCTGCTGGCCCTCCTCCTCCGGAAACTGGGAGTCATGCAGGGGGATAAACGCACAGATCCCGGTGCGACGATGCCAAGGCCAGCAAGGACCTCAGCCGACCGGCTCTGCTGTTTGTTTTAGATTTTTGGCTTCATGTTTTAATAAAAGGTCCTATTACAGTTTTAAAATATTATCACTTACAGGCTTATTGGGGCCTGCGGTCCAGGGTGGAGAAGTCAAAGTCCGGAGTGTGTGGGCGTGGCCGGGGCAGGAGCCACCAGGCAGAGCTCTGCAGGGAACCGGTGGCCCCAGCCCTGGTCTCAGTGTGGCCACTGGCCTTCAAGCAGCCTTGCCCTCTCTAGACCTTAGAGTCCTTGGTCACTGTCCTAGTCCATAAATGATTGCTAACAGAAATATCTGAGACTGGCCAATTTAGAAAGAAGCAGAGGGGCCAGCTGGTGATGTGGTGCAGGGAGCTGGACTCCCAGTGGCCGACTGTGGTTTGTGCCCCGGAGCTGGTGGCTTGCTTTCTCACTTTCCCTCTCTGTCCCTCTCCCGTCAAAATGAAAAATAAATAAATAAAGTTAAATAAAATAATTCTAAAAAAAGACACAGAGGTAAGGCCTACTGGTGGTGCAGCAGTTAAGGCAGCGGGATCCCACAGGCCTACTGTGTGGTTCAAATCCTGGACCTGGTGACCTAAGAAACACACCAGGAATGCATGTGTGCCCAAAAGCCTGAGAGAAGGGACTATGTTGCCATCCCCCCGAAGGTGCTTTCTCACTTTCTCTGTCTCTCTCTCTCTGTCTTCCTAGTGAGCACAGGTGCCCTATAGCAAAATTTAAAAAAAAAAAAAAAGGTTATTTGACTTATGATTCTGGTGGCTGGAAAGCCCAAAGGGGTCCCAGCATGGCTGAAGGAAGCAGAGGTCGGCAAGTGCGTGCAGAGCGGGCAAGCGGCTGGCCGAGCAAGCGGAGGGCTGCTGTCCTGTCCCGTTTGTAACAGCGCTCACGTGAGAACTCCCCTTCTCATGAGAGCTGGGATCCCCTGGGCCCCTCACAAGTCAGCGTTAACCATTCAGGAGGCCTGCACCTCTATGGTCCAGCCCCAGTGCTCAGTTACCACCCACGGAGACCAAATTCCAGAACAGGAGCCTTGGGGGCAGAGCATTAGCCCCAGGGCTGCAAAAGGATGGGAGATCCGTTAGTCTGGTGGTGTTGCAGCTTTTGAAAAGCAACAGAGGGCCAGCAGGTGGCATGGGGGTTGAGGTGGCTGGATCCCACATGGCTGACTTCACCTTTCGAATCTTGGACCCAGCAACTTGAAAAACACACGAGGCGCATGTGCATGCATGCTCCATATCTTGAGAGGAGACCGGAGGGGGGACTGTGGCGTAGCCTTTTCTCAAGTGGTGATTTCTCACTTTCTCTCTCTCTCCCTGGTGAGCACATGTACCCTATGGCAAAAACAAAAACCAACCACATCTGTGGAAGAATAAGGGGTCCCGAGGATGAGGTGTGTGCCGGGGTGGGGGCCAGAGCCCTGGGGGTCAGTCCCTTCAGAAGGGAGGAGAACTCAAGGGATCTTCTTCCTCCCTCCCTCCCTCTCTCCACTCACTGGGTTTCGGAGCACGGGGAACATTTCCGCCTGGAAATCTTCGAGGGCTGCAACTTCACGGGCCAGTGCCTGGAGTTCGTGGAGGACTGCCCGTTCCTGCAGAGCCGGGGCTGGGCCAAGAGCTGCGTCAACGCCATCAAGGTGTACGGGGACGGAGCGTGAGTACCGGCAGCATGCTGCCCCCCAGCCTCGCTGCCCCAGTCGAGCAGCGGTGGCTTCCTGTGTGGCCCAAAAAGGCCTCGGTGAGGGACACTGGGTCTCAGAGAGAGACCCTAGGACCTTCCCTGTGGGGTGCCAGGCCTGGGATGGCGGCAGTGTCCAGCTTCCTGCTTGGCAAACTAACATTCTCTCTGTTATTATAGAGGTCTCTGCTGTCCCTGAGCCCGGGGACACCTCCTTACCAAGACATCGTCAGCAGCCTTGAGGGATCGGGAGGCCCCCTTTGGGTCCACCTGCTCGGAGCATGGAGGCCCTGCCCACCTCCTCCCCAGCCACACTAACCCTGCCTTGGGCTTCTCGGCCCAGCGGGCAAACCACCGCTACTCTGGCCACTCGGGGTAGCTGGGCCTCGTTAGCTCACTTCTCGCAGACCGAGGGTGGTGGGGGTTCCACCCAGGCCCGGAGGGGCTCTGTCAGAACCGGGTGCTCGCCCCTCATCAGCCAGGGCGCCACACCCCCACCCTGTACTACAGACCTACTGCTCTGGGCACTTGGGCTGGCCATCTCGTCTCGTGTCCCGGCTGGGCAGACACTGTTGTCCCTGTTACAGAGGGGCAAGCAGACACCCAGAAACTAACTCAGCCAGTGAGTTGCCCTGCCCTGGACTGCAGCCTGATCCAAGCTGGGTGTCTTCCGGACAGAGTCCCTCCTCTCAGAAAAGCCCGCCACGTGGGCTCCTGCCTCCTTGGGCCTTGTTGATCCACGAGCCTGGCCCCTGTCGAAGCCACGCTCCTTCTATAGTGAAGTGCAGGTCAGGGAACTGCAAGGGAGCGGCCCCCGGGGGACGGGGGAAGACAGCGGACCAGGCCGAGCCACGCCACCACGGTGGGCTGCCAGGCCGCTCCCACCCTGATGGCCCTCCCGCCGGCTCTCCAAGACTCCTTTCACGCCTGCCTTCCTTCTTCTATTTCTTGAGAGAGAGTGGCAGAGGCACCTGCGACAGGGCGTTCACACCACAGTCCACCCCCAGCCTCAGCCCCAGGAACCTGGAGGGTGTGCCCTGGTGTGCACAGGGAGACCCTGGGACGTGAACCTGGGACCTTCCTTACGGGCTCCGCACAGGGTGACCGGCCACTGCACTACTGCATCCAGCTGCACCGACCTTCTGCCTCGTCTGCCTCTCCGAAACCACCCGTTTGCCTTAAGTGCATGGCCCAGGGTAGAATTCCAAAGCAATCTGCCTTGGAAAACGTCCCGGCGATGAGACCAAAGCCATACCTTTGCAGGGAAAATGCGAGTTGTCCTGAGACCCAGGGTGCAATCCCCAGGCCCGCCCCAGGAAACTCAGGGCTTATGCGGAAACCTTTGGGGAAGGTAGGAGCTACTGGCTGTGGGGACCCACAGTCACCTCCAACCCCTTTTGCCCATGAGGAGCCAAGGACCAGTGGTCAGGAAATTCACCCTAGGCTGCTCGGTGGACGTGTTTGGCCGTGGGCTGTGCTCATCCTTCGCTGTCCAGGACTTGAACTTCAAAACTATGTCTGTCCGTGTTGAGGAGCAGCTGCCTGGACAGCGAAGGCCCTGAGTCCCTGATCTTGGTGGGGACCCACCCAGGTGGCCTTTCCTGGGGTCGGAGGCAGACAGGCAGGGCCCCTCTGCCAGCTCCCATAGTCGAGTTCTGTCCTGGGGTTCTGCGTCAGCTCAGGAATGACGCTGTTTTCTAGACCCATGTCCTGGAAGGCACCACAGGGAAACGCACTGGCATCTCTGCCACCCCCGCCCACCCCTGGAAGGGCACGCGCAGACCTGCAGGCCCGCCTTCCTGCCTCCTGTCTCTGACCCTCCCCATCAGTCACAGACAGAAGGGGCAGGTTTCCTGGGAACCCCAGTCAGTCCCTGCCTCTCCCTTTTGGGGACACCCTCAGGGGGTGGGGCTGTGGTTGCAGGAAGGCAGTGCTGGACCAAGCTTCTTTGAGCACCCAGCGAGCTAGCTGGCGAGCTTCTGGCTGGTCAGCATCCTCCTCCGCCCGGCCCACCCCTCCCCTTCCCCTCTCCCTTCCCACTGCCCCTGCCCCTGCCCTTCACAGGGCAGACCACGCAGGGTATTAGGTGCAGGGCTGGGCTGGGAGAAGAGAGAGGCCCCAGTGGCAGAGGAGGGGAGAGAGGGGAAGCTGCTGCCTTGGGGGACTGTGTGGCCTTGGGTGGTCACCGTCCTTCAATGGGCCTCATCTGTAAACAGGGCCCTGGGCTCAAGCGTTCTGAATCCAGTCTCTCCCAGTGGAGGGACGGGGAGCCCCTTCGGCCAACGAGCGCTGGGGTCAGTGTGCAGAGCTGCTAGGAGGGGGGCCCCAATGAGTGACCCGAATGGGTGTGCAGCCCTTCTGTGACCCACATAAAGCATTTCTACCCCAGAGGACACCGGAGGAGGGTCGGCGGTGAGTGGAGAGGCCGCCCCACTTCTCCCTCAGCGCAGGACCGGCCCTGCCGCCCGGCTGGAGGGGTCCCAGGATAGCGAGGGGAGGGCAGGCTTAGGCCAGCCCTGCTCCCACCTGTGCCCAAGTTTCTTCCGAGGACTGTACCCCTCTTCTGGACGAGGGAGGAGAACCAGTCTCCTGCTCCGCTATCCCTGCAGGAGGGGAAATGAATGGTCACCACAAAGCGCTCCTGTCCCTTGGGTTGTCGGCAGCTGTCCTGGGGCTCAGAGTGTGGGATCCAGGCTGGGAGGGGAGAGAGCAGAGGGGAAGGCAGGACTTGGGACCCCAGCAGCCTCCCAGTCCCTCCTGCAGTGCATGCAGCAGGGCCCACGCTGCACTGCAGCAAGGGGGCGGGGGCAGGGGACAGCAGGGCCCATGTGGGCTGTGTGCTGGGCACACAGGTGGGGAGGACAGCACCCCTGAACGTATGGAGAGTAGGAACAGCCCCCAGCCTGAGCCAGGCACCCTGCCACGCACTGGAGTCCCGAATACGCTGGACGGTCCTCTCAGGGAACAGCAGGGGCGGCAGGGGGACAGTGAGGGTGGCCGTGGTCCTGGGCCGGCTCTGGCCCTTGCCGTGGGCTGGTTCCTGACCGCCCCATACACGCCCAGGCACAGCCCTGTCCCGGGACGTGCGGGAGGTCTGCCCCGTGCCCGCCTCCGCCTGACCGCCTGCCCTGCCTGCAGGTGGGTCCTGTACGAGGAGCCCAACTACCGTGGCCGCATGTTCGTGGTGGAGAGGGGCGACTTCCGCAGCTTCTCCGACTGGGAGGCCCACAGCGCCCGCGTGCAGTCGCTCCGCAGGGTGGTCAACTTCTTCTAGCCCAGCGGGTGGGGCGCAGCCCTGGGACGGGAGGGGCCCCACGCAGGCCCTGGGACGTGGCAATAAAAGTCCGAAAGCCGGCGAGCGCTCCGCGTGCTTCCTGGGCGCTGCTGAGGGCTGGAGGGGGCCGGGAGGGCCTGCGGTGCCACCGCGCGTCCCGGGTCCGCACCGGAACGCGCGCTTCCTGCCACCCCGGCACCCTGGGCCAGTTCCGGGGCGAACGGGAGGGAAGAAAGGAGGGGCGGGGACGCAGTGCGGAGAGGGGCGGACAGGGGGACCGGCGCGGGCAGGAGAGGACCGAGGTGGCGGCCGGCGGGGCTCCGCGGTTGCAGCAGCGCGCCCTCCATGCGCGCCTCTCGCTGATCCGCAATGCCCGACTCTGGCCACGTGCTGTGCTCTGCGGCCAAGGCCTGGCCCAGGTGCCTGGCTCTGCGTCTCTGGGGTGCACCCTTTGGACCCTTCTTGGCCGCGAAGTTTCCCAGGGAGGCCTCTCTGGAAAGCTGGGAGGCAGAGGCAGCCCCTGTTCCCTAAGGGGGTCCTGTAGAGAGAACCTGGGGGCGGGGGTGAACTATGAGCTTGAGGGAACCGAGGGGAGGAGGCTGGGAGGCAGGCAGGCTGCGAGGGGTGCAGGGTGTATCTACGCGGACCCAGCCCCGAGTCCAGGCCCCCCAGCCCTGCCCTCGCCCCAGGCACTGTGCCCAAGGTGCCTACCTGGGACCTCCTTCTCCAGAAAGTTGGGTCCACTTGTGGCTGGCAGGCTTGAATCTGGGGGATGTCCCCTCCCCAGGGACACAGGGAAGGGAGGAGCCTGTGTGAAGGAGCCCAGGCAGCAGGCATCTGGGATAAGGGGGGGTCCATGCAGCAGTACCATCCCCTCTGGCTGCCTCCACTGCATCCTCCCATCCCAGTGAGAGAGGAGGTCCCTGGAGAATCCTGCAGTGTAGACCTCCACCCCTGGAGAAGAAACCCAGATGTCCTGCCTCCTGTCAGTGGGAACCATAGAGAACCACCCCTGGGAGTGGCGGAGGCTGAACCAGGGCTGCCCCCAGAGCGTTCCTCCATGGGTGGGGTGGAGGGAACCTTCAAGAACCTGAAAAAAACATTAGGAAACTAGCAAAGAGCCTGCCCCTGCAGAGCAAAGATCCCTGAGCCCAGGACCAACACGGGCCTTTAAATGTTGCTGAGTCAGGAAGAGGGTTTGTTTAAAACTGTGCCCAGGGCCAGCAGGTGGCAGTGGTTAGGGCAGCTGGAGCCCACGTAATTGACTACGTGGTTCCAGCCTTGAAGCCAGCAGCTTGAAGAACACGGGGGTGGGGGGGGG